TGACCATATATTTCTTTTATATTCTGAAAGAACTTTACAGTTACAGCTTGGAAGAAAAAGGGGCACTATTCCTAGGAATCTTTGAAGAAAAAGCCAGTGATCTTCTTATTCAAATAGTAGTGAACAATAATATTTAATGTTACACTTGTCATAATATTTGTTACAGCCCCCTTTTGTCCTGTGCACATTTGCTAATGCATAGTAAACTTCAAGTGACACTAACCTCACATTTTTTTAAATAAAATGAAATAAATTCAATATGTTTAAATATAACTTGAACATACTGTACCTTCTATTCCTCTTTTCCTTTGTTATATCTCTCAAATGCAAGTTTTTTTCTACTATTCTCAGGAAGTTCAAGGGTGGCTACATTTTTTCTCCATGCCGCCACTGTGAGAATGTAGCCAACCTCTCCTGATTGCCCCCAAGATGGATTACACATCTGCAGGTGCCCTGCAGGTGTAGCAAGTACTGGAAATGAATAAACCTCCCAGTAATGCTATTAATAGTCTGCAGCTAGAGGGAGCTCTAATAATTTGTAGTGTGACTTTAGGAGACTGATACCAACAAGCTCACATTAAACTCGGAATGCAAGTGAGCAACACATCTTTTGTGTTCTCCTCTTAGATAAAGGTTAGTCGCACGTGGTTTATCCTATATTTGTTCAATTTTGTGTTTGTTCTGACATTCACTTTCTCTGTTTAGTATCCTATATGTTACTAATGGCAATTCTCTAGCACAAATTGATGCGCTTTTCCATGTGGCCACTATAAAGAAAGAAATTATGTGTATAATGTGATCCATTTCTGTTTGATACATTAAACTTGGAATGCGAGTGAGCAACACGTGCTTTGTGTTCTCTTTGATACAGATAATGCAGGCTGCATCTTTGCAATACATTGCACTCAGATCACCGATAATCTTGTAACATTGGCACATTCTGCTTTATGGGAATTGTAGTACGCACAGAGCATATCATGTGAGCAGAAATAATGGCACTGATCACTCTACACTAGTAGCTGTGAGGTGCATCTGTGGAGGATAGGTAGCGTGCACTGGACAAAAAAAGAAGTCTGAAAACAACAGTAAGATATTTTTTAAACAAACAAAAACAAAAAAGAAAACCGAGCCATGGTATTTTTGATATTTTAGAATAATTGATGAAAACGTTAGTGCCACTTTATGCAGCCAGAAAGGAAACATTACAAGAAATGTGTGTGTAGTGTAAAGGTAAAGATTCATTGGACAAAAGGAGAAGAATAGCACAGCAACAGGGTCAGTATTAAAGGACACAGGGGACATGAGATGCTGGCATTGGTAAGTACAGTCTATTCTAATCAAATAAATAATAAAGTAAAAATGATAATTCTAGTATAGCTTTGGATCAGTATTGTGATGGGAGTACAGAGCCAAGCAGAATATTGTGTCCAGCATCAAGGTGGTTAGGAAGGTGAGCATCACACCATAAAGTACACAGTTATGTTTCTACCAGCAAATAGAGCTAGTGTCCAGTACATCAGACAATAAGAGTAAGGAGGAGCAAATGTTCCTGGCCATGGTATGGTGTCCTTGAAGGGTGCCTGTCCCACACAGGCACTGTAAATGTTCATCACCGTTCTATGGCAATTCAATGGGTAGGGCAGAATGTAGAAGAGCACATTTATATACCTGTATGTCGTATGACAGTTTCCCTAGCATGATTTGGTGTTGGCAATTAACTCCAAAGGGGGAGATTTACTAAAATTGGAGCACAGAGAATCTGGCACAGCTGTGCCTAGTAACCAGTCAGCTTCTAGATGTTATTGTGAAAACTTCATTGAACCAGCTGAATTTCGAAGCTGATTGGTTATTATGAACAGCTCCACCAGATTCTCTAGGCTTCAGTTTTCGTAAATCTCACCCAAAGGTTTGTAGACCTACAACATCATCACACCAGGGACAATGAGCCTTTGAATCTAATTTTTTAATTATATACACCTCATCTGGACAGTACATTCCAGATTTAATACCTCTTCAAATACAGATAGATTTATACTGTTTTCACAGCAGCTATCTAGGGATCTCTAGGTGTGATGAGAGGGTGTAATAAAAAGCTATCAACAGCCTCTAGGTACTATTAGATTATTATTATTATACAGGATTTATATAGCGCCAACAGTTTGCGCAGCGCTTTACAATATAATGGGAGACAATACAACAACAGTACAGTTCAATACAAGAGGGATAGGAGGGCCCGGCTCCTCGGAGCTTACAATCTAGAAGATAGAATAGAAATAGCATGGGCCAAGTTACTCCTTTAGTAAATTACTCCTTAGACAAGTGATGAGTTGTGCAGGCACTCTCAGGGATATCAGAATTTGGAGCAATGCAGAGTGCTACCAGTGAAGGATTAACATTTTCGTATATGGATTCCAACTGCACAGTTCATTATCTGTCATGTATTTCCAGTCCTAACAATGAATGTATTTGTGCCTGTTTTTTTTAGCTAACATTGAATAGGTGGTCATTATATTGAAACTAAAAGAAAAATGCATTGGCGCAATAGGGGGCAAAGATGGGGACCAATAATGTTCATGTAAAAGAAAAGCTCACTTCTGCAGCAGCTTAGTCATAGCAGCAAGAAGCAACTCTGAAATAAAGGCACAGGAAGGGGAGAAGGCAAGCATCAGCTAAGTGTAACAGTTAAAAATACCTTAATAATGATAAAAGAATTGCACTCACAAAAGGAGCAGAAATCAAGCATGTAGCACTACAAGTGACAATCCTCGCCAGCACAAATCCCGGTCTGCCAGATGGTAAGAGGTTGCGGCCTAGCCAATCGGTAGTGCCAGAGGCTCCCAGGGCTTCCTGATTCTCGTGGAACACTGAGTCGGGCAGTTGTAAAGTCACGACTGGACGTGATGGGGGAATTTGGTGTCGCATTTGCAGAGCATGTGCTCCTTCTTCAGGCCTTGTAGGCCCCATGTTTAGTGTGGTTTTTTTAAGTAGTTGTAGGGGCAGCCAGTTGACAACAAAGCTCAGCGGCCACAAACACATACAAAAATCAAAGACTAGTAAGAGCTACATGTAGAAAATGGTAGTGGGTACAATAAAAATATATAAACATTTTAACAGTTCTGTAAAGATTGCAGTTAAAAGTATATAAATAAAAGAATCAAACAGGATATGAACTACACTTTGTCTAAGATGCACAGACAAAGATATATATCCAGATGTATTAACATCTAAACAACAGGTAAGTTACAATCATATACAGGGCCACCAAAGAACATATCCTAAAAAGATGAAATTCTTAATACTACTAAGGGTGTACTTACATGTCGGAAATCTGGCTGTCTTAAGAGTCCCATATCATTTAAAATATACACCTAGATGAAGAAACATACAGTATATGCAAAAATTAGTTATTCTGTGCAGACAATATGTGTACACAAAAAAACATAATTCTATCTCTCTACTGTTTGCATGTACAGTATAGGGATACATAGATGGAAGAGCCTATATATATTAAAAATGCAACCTATACAGAAGGAAATTAAAAACATATAGATTAAGCTGTGATGGTGTCTGTGTATAAAGGAAGAGTGTGTCTGTAGACAGTACTGAAAAAGCTAATATATGATATAAAAAAAACTATATTGAGGACCGATTAAAGAAGTGTACTGGCCTCCACTTTCTTATTGAGGCCACCTGATAGGAGAGTGTGAAGATTGGTCAATAAAGTAGAATTAAATACTTTTATTTTGGATAAAGTACAGGAGGGATATATCTTTTTTTTGCCCATCTGTGTCACCTTGGAGAGATTTCCTTTCACTTCCTGTCCCATAGCCAAAACAGGAAGTGAAAGGAAATTTCTCCAAACTTAGGGAATCCCAGGGTGTCACCAGGGTCACCAGAACTATTGTCCCCATTGGAAGATATTCCCTCTATTACTGTTCTCAAATTTTGGGTTATTATTTTTCTTTCACTTTTATATTATTTATAACAATTTATAACGATAAACTGGACAAATAGAGTGAATCTCCCTAACGGAGACATGGTCTGGACATGGACTGCAATAAAAACTGACAGGTGTTCTAATCCCTCTCTACTCCAAAGCTTATGTTTTGCCTTTAGTTACACTTTAAGGAATTATTAAACGTAAGATACTCTGGAGAATGATGACTGGAATGATGACTGAGAGGTTAATGCACATATACCACAAGCCTGTGAGCTCTGTTTTCTGAAGGGATACCTTACTGTTGAGATGGATAATAGTAAGTGAGGTGTGTGCTGGGTGGGATCCAGTGTTGCCAACCTCCCGCAGCATTTTTCACTGTCAAAACATGGAAAATGTACGGATGGTGCATATTTTGTTAACAACAACCTGAAAAATGACATTAAAAACTAAGACAATCAATATTTAAACAGTATAAACACAATATGTAAAACACTGACAATACCCATATCAAATAATTTAATTGGTTTACACTTAAAAAAGTCAACACAGCATGACAAATTATCAGCCCCTGATATTTACAGACAGTTGTAAAAATCAATGGTTTGTACAAGCTTTCTGTAAATTTACTGACAGTTGGCAACCCTGGTGGGATCTCACTTTTAAAGCATGCTATGTTTAGCAAAATGTAGTACTTTATCCCCAAGCAGTGAAAAAGGCAGTCGTAATCTTCATTTAGAACTATATATATGAAAGATGGGAAATAGTTCAAATAGTATCAGTAGGTACTACACTCTGTACAACAGTGTCTTACATTATTAATATCTGCATTCCAAACTGTACCTGCTTCTGATGACCTTTCTCTTTGTCTTTTTGCAGCAGGTACAGCATTGTATCCACAGATGAGGAAGGCCTTCGCATGCCATCCATGGGTCTTAATGGTCACTGGTCATCTTCTCTCCACAACCCGCATTCACGTCGGAAAAGGCGCAATCGTTTTGTTAAAAAGAACGGTCAATGTAATGTCTACTTTGCAAATCTCAGCAACAAATCACAACGTTACATGGCTGACATTTTTACAACATGTGTTGACACACGTTGGCGATACATGCTGCTTATCTTCTCAGCTGCTTTCTTAGCATCATGGCTTTTCTTTGCCTTTCTCTTCTGGTGCATTGCATTCCTTCATGGGGACTTAGCTGTTGGTAGTGGTGTGATTCCAGGAGGGAGATCAGGTCCTCCCAAACCATGCCTGATGCATGTTAATAGCTTTGTTGAAGCTTTTCTCTTTTCAGTAGAGACACAGACTACAATAGGGTATGGGTTCCGTTGTGTGACTGATGAATGCCCTTTAGCCATCCTTGCTGTAGTAGCACAATCCATCCTTGGCTGCCTCATTGACTCTTTCATGATTGGTACAATAATGGCCAAAATGGCTCGGCCCAAAAAACGAGCCCAAACGCTACTTTTTAGTCATCATGCTGTAATTGCCCTAAGAGATGGAAAGCTCTGTTTGATGTGGAGGGTTGGAAATCTACGCAAAAGTCATATTGTAGAAGCCCATGTCAGAGCTCAACTGATCCGACCTTACATTACACAAGAGGGTGAGTACCTGCCCGTGGATCAGCGAGACTTGAATGTGGGATATGACAGTGGGCTGGATCGCATCTTTCTGGTTTCGCCCATCATTATAGTGCATGAGATTGATGAGGAGAGCCCTCTCTATACAATGGGAAAGGAGCAGTTAGAAGGAGAAGACTTTGAGATTGTTGTCATTTTGGAGGGCATGGTGGAGGCCACAGCTATGACAACTCAAGCTCGCAGTTCGTACTTAGCAAGTGAAATCCGCTGGGGACACAGGTTTGAGCCTGTTGTATTTGAGGAGAAGAATCATTATAAAGTGGATTATTCTCACTTCCACAAAACCTACCAGGTGCCAGGGACCCCTGTGTGTAGTGCACGAGAACTACATGAAAGCCGTATAACTGCTTTACCTTCCCCAAGCGCCTTCTGCTATGAAAATGAGTTGGCTCTTCTCAGCCAAGAGGAGGATGAGGATGAAGAAGCTGTTGGAGGTGTACCAGATGAAGGAGTTATCCATGTTATGGGGAGTCATTTAGAACTTGATCGCCTTCAGGCATCTATGGCATTAGACAATATTTCTTACAGAAGGGAATCAGCTATATGATGTCAATACCAAGACTTAGAGTACATTTCCAAGGCCACACCTAGGCGGGTGATGGTGTACTTTTATGTGTTTGTCTATGTCTCTATTTCCTGTTAAAGTAATTAACCTTTTGCACTGCAAAAAAAAAAAAAAAGTTCAATTGAAAATGTAATGACTTCTCCAGCAGATTGTTGCCACTTTTACAATTATGAATATGTATGCTCTGAAAGCAAAGAACATCAGCCATTTTCTTTGTGTTCTTGAGAAAGGGAACAACAGGGCTGGGTACATTCAGTGTATAAAAATCTTTTGTACAGATGCAAGTTAAAAATAAACCTCTAATCTGTGCTCTTCCAAACCACACATGTTTATATATTGATCTTTTCTGATATGCAGGGAAAATGTGCAGGCGGCAGCTGAGGAGAAAAAGAAGCTTAAAAGCCTTAATTAACAAGAAAAAAAAAGACTTGCTTAAAGGGCCAGTAAACTTAAAGTGCGAGTTCACTGTCAATAATATTTTGCATTTTATAAATATTTCCTAGTTTTTTTTTATTTCCCTTTTCTTCCTGCTTTTTTTGTTTTTGCATTCTTGCCCATACTGATCATTTTAAAAAGGCACAGTAACTTTTCCTTGTAAAGCGTGTAATATACACTAGTAGAAATTATCTTCACTGTGTGGTATTACAGTCCTAATATACACTATATTGCCAAAAGTATTTGGACACCCCTCTAAATCATTGTAATCAGGTGTTCCAATCACCTCCATGGCCACAGATTTTTATTTTTTATTTTATCTATTACAGGCACTTATATAACGCTGTCAATTTAAGCAGCACTTTACATACATATATATATATATATATATATATATATATATATATATATATAGTACTTTCACATCAGTCCCTGACCCTCAAAGAGCATACAATCTAAGGTCCCTAACGCACATTCATGCATACTGGGGCCAATTTAGACAGGAACCAATTGACCTGCCAGCATGTCTTTGAAGTGTGGAAGGAAACCGAAGTGCCCAGAGAAAACCCACACAGTCGCAGGGAGAACATGCAAACTCCATTCAGGTGGTGCCTTGGTTGGGATTCAAACCAACAACCCTAGTACTGCCAGGCGGAAGTGCTAGCCATTTAGCCACTATGCTGCCCAGATGTATACAATCATGAACCTAGGTATGCAGACTGCTTCTACAAACATTTGTAAAAGAATGGGTCACTCTGAGGAGCTCAGTGTATTCAAGCATGGGTACCATGATAGGTTGCCACCTGTGCAATAAGTCCGTCTATAAAATTTCTGTACTACTAAATATTCCACAGTCAACAGTTAGTGGTATTATAACAAAGTGGAAGCAAGTGGGAACAACAGCAACTCAGCCACAAAGTGGTAGGCCACGTAAAATGTCACAAAGGGGTCAGCGCATGCTGAAGCGCACAGTGCGCAGAAGTCGCCAACTGTCTATAGAGTCAGTAGCTAAAGACCTCCAAACGTGTTGTGGACTTCAGATTAGTACAACAGTGTATAAAGAGCTTCATGAAATGGGTTTCCATGGTCGAGCAGCTGCACCAAATGCAATGCAAAGCGTCGGATGCAGTTTTATAAAGCACGCCACCACTAGACTCTAGAGCAGTGGAGACGTATTCTCTGGAGTGACTAATCACACTTCTCTGTCTGGCAATCCGAAGGACGTGTCTGAGTTCGGCAATTTCCAGGAGAACGGTACTTGCCTGACTGCATCATGCCAAGTGTAAAGGTTGGTGAAGGGTGGATTATTTTGTGGGGTTGTTTTTCAGGGGTTGGGCTTGGTCCCTTAGCTCCAGTGAAGGGAACTCTTAAGGCGTCAGCATACCAAGACAATTTCATGCTCCCAATTTTGTGGGAACAGTTTGGGGATGGCCCCTTCCTGTTCCAACATTACTGCGCACCAGTGCACAAAGCAAGGTCCATAAAGATATGGATGAGAGAGTTTGGGGTGGAAGAATTTTACTGTCCTGACCTCAACCTGACAGAACAACTTTAGGATTAATTAGAGTGGCGACTGTGAGCCAGGCCTTCTTGTCGGACATCAGTACTTGACCTCACAAATCCCCTTCTGGAAGAATGGTCAAAACAGTCCCATAGACACATTCCTAAACCTTGTGGACAGCCTTCCCAGAAGAGTTGAAGCTCTTATAGCTGCAAAGGGTGGGCCAACTCAAAATTGAACCCTACGGACTAAAACTGGGATGGCATTAAAGTTCATGTGCGTGTAAAGGCAGGCGTCCCAATACCTTTGATAATATAGTGTATATCAATGGGTTTGTACTAAATAGGAATGTAAGCAGGAGGCTTTGTAAGACCATCAGGGAAACTGAGCTTACACTGCAGTCAGGCTCAAACACAACACAATGTTTTGAACACACATAAATAAGGCAATACCATAATTTTACAAGTTCTACTAAAGCCTCAATTACCAGGGTTGATTTACTGAAACCGGAGAGTGCAAAATCTGGTGCAGCTGTGCATGGTAGCCAATCATTTTCCAAGTTCAGCTTGTTCAATTAAGCTTTGGCAATACAACCTGGAAGTTGATTGTTTTCTCTGCAGAGCTGCACCAGATTTTGCACTCTCCAGTTTTAGTAAATCAACCAAATTGTACCATCAGCTATGATAATTACAGTTTTTGCCATATGAATTAAAGGTGCTGCAACATCTACAGTTGCTAGAAAAAGTATGTGAACCCCTTGGGATTACGTGGAGTTTTGCATGAATTGGGCATAAAATGTCCTCTGAACGTCATCTAAGTCACAACAATAGAAGAACACAGTCTGCTGAACATAATACTACACAAACATTAGATGTTGCCATGGTTTAATTGCACATAACATGTAAACATTCACAGTGCAGGGAGGAAAAAGTATGTGAACCTTTGGACTTAATAACTGGTTGACCCTCCTTTGGCAGCAATAACCTCAACCAAACGTTTCCTGTAGTTGCAGATCAGACCTGCACAACGATCTGGAGTAATTTTGGACCACTCCTCTTCACAAAACTGTTTCAGTGTAGCAATATTCTTGGGATGTCTGGTGTGAATCGCTCTCTTAAGGTCATGCCACAGCATTTCAATTGGGTTGAGGTCAGGACTCTGACTGGGCCACTCCAGAAGGCGTATTCTGTGCTGTTGCAGCCATTGTTTTGTTGAATTACTTGTATGCTTTGGGTCATTGTCCTGTTGCATCACCCATCCTCTGCGAAGCTTCAGTTGGCGGACAGATGGTCGTACGTTTTCCTGCAAAATGTCTTGGTAAACTCTGGAATTCATTTTCCCATCAATGACAACAATCCATCCAGGCCCTGAGGCAGCAAAGCAGCCCCAAACCATGATGCTCCCTCCGTCATGTTTTACAGTGGGGATGAGGTTTTGATGTTGGTGTGCTGTGCCTTTTTTTCTCCACACATAGTGTTGTGTGTTCTTCCCAAACAACTTAATCTTGGTTTCATCTGTCCACAGTATATTTTGCCAGTAGCGCTGTGGAACATCTTTGCAAACTTCAAACGTGCTGCAATATTCTTTTTGGACAGCAATGGCTTCCTCCGTGGTGTCCTCCCATGTACTCCATTCTTATTTAATGTTTTTCTTATTGTAGATGTGTCAACAGAAATGTTAGCATGTGCCAGAGATTTCTGTAGGTCTTTAGCTGACACTCTGGGATTCTTCTTTACCTCATGCAGCATTCTGCGCTGTGCTCTTGCAGTCATTTTTACAGGACGACCACGCCTAGGGAGAGTAGCAACAGTGCTAAACTTTCTCCATTTGTAGACAGTCTGTCTTACCGTGGACACATGAACATCAAGGCTTTTGGAGATACTTTTGTAACCATTTCCAACTTCATGCAAGTCAACAATTCTTGATCGTAGGTCTTCTGAGAGCTCTTTTCTGCGAGGCATGGTTCACATCAGACAGTGCTTCTTGAAACCAATAAACCCAAAACAGGTGTGTGTTTTTTAAGGGCAGGACAGCTGTCAGCAACACATCTAATATCATCACACTTATTGGAGTCAAGGTTGGCTCACTCCTGGCTCCAATTAGCTCTGGGAGAAGTCATTAAGCTAGGGCCTCACATACTTTTTCCTCCCTGCACTGTGAATGTTTACATGTTATGTGCAATTAAACCATGGCAACATCTAATGTTTGTGTAGTATTATGTTCAGCAGACTGTGTTCTTCTATTGTTGTGACTTAAATGACGTTCAGAGCACATTTTATGCCCAATTCATGCAAAATGCCACGTAATCCCAAGGGGTTCACGTACTTTTTCTTGCAACTGTATCCAAATTCATCTCTGTAAACAGCATCAGCGTTGGCAACTTGAGTGAACAGATAGGCACACAGAAACCTCAAGAGGAAAAGGAGACGATATGTTACCTGGATATATGCATACCTCCCAACTTTCTGAGATGGGAACGAGGGACACCTATTAGCAAAAGTATGTAGGCATAGGACACACACCCTGCCACTCCCCCCTTAAAGGAGAGTTGCACAAAAAATGATTGGTTACACCCACAAGTACTTTTTTACCACTTTTATTCCTTTAAATTGGCTTTTGGAATTTACAAATTGCTGCAATTTAGATACTGGATGAAAGGTTTAGCACTGTAAAATACTTTTTTTTATAAATAGTGCTTTTTTTTTATACAACTATACATATCAAACCTAAATGAGGAGGAAAGAGGGACAGAGAGACATTGTTCCTAATGATGGACAGTCCCTAGAAATCAGCGACAGTTGGGAACTATGTATATGTACTTGAACACATAGGTGGGTGTAGAAAATCATGAAATGCTACATTTCAAGACAACCTGAATTTATGAAGTTCCCAAAAAGGCAAGCAGAAAGCAAAGAATGAATCACTAGTGTTTCCTTGCATCTGATCTTTACCCAAAGCACACCTATCATGCCTTGTTCTGCACTGTGTTTTTGTGTGAAGGAAGCCAACCCGATAGAAGCAAGACTTTGCTTCCTTATGTTAAATC